GTAAAGTCTGCTAATTCTAAAGGAGGAATTGGCTATGTCTTCTTTACCATTAAATAAAAATTTAGCACACTATTAACAATTTCTTCTTTTTCATAATAGATAAATGCAGAGATTTACAATCACTGGTAGAATGAAGAAATTTTGCTGAGTTTATTCAAAAAGTAACAGATTATACAAAACCGGAAACTAATATTCGAAATTGAAAATTAATGATATATCTTGAAAGATTTTTGTGAAAAGGTAATATTTGACAATGAAGACTGTTTGATGAAGCGAGTTGTTTGGTAAAGCATTCATGACGGTAGGTTGGCATAGCAGAATGAATAGTTGGGGTCCGAGAAGAAACTAAACATTCATTCAAATAAGGATGAGGTCTACAGAATTTGCAACATTTGTAAATGGTATACGTGACAATTATGAGATTGACAAAAAATTGTATGGAGTTGATGCCGCCATAGCTTTGGTTGATGACCCTGATAAGAAACAGTCCATAAATCCGAAAGATGTTGCCATCCCTGAATCAGAGTTCAAACTTCAGTCTCTTAAGCCTATTGTGCTTTCGGGTATCAGAGATGTCAATTTGATAGAAACTTCAGATTGTGTATTTAAGGTTGGACGTACTACAGGATTAACTAAAGGACGTATTGATGATTAACAAATATTTGTGATGGAGATTTCTGGATCTACGAACAACAATTACCAATATTTGGCATAGAAAGATCGAGGGAGAATTCTATTCCTATCTATACAATATTGGTGAAGTGAGCAGATGATAGAATGTTTATGCAGAAAGGGGATTCAGGCTGTGTATGGTGGGGAAATCATAGCATTAGGGCATGGTGCACTTCATGTAAATAATCTTAATAGCGTTTATGGTATAGGGTCTCCAATAAACGCCGTGTTGGAGTTAAACCTTATTTTGGTAGTCAAGAATAAAAAATAAAATATATATCGGTAATTCGAATTTAAAGAGTTTAATAAAAGATTTTGCCTGAAACTATTTAGGAATCAGCTCAGTAATGATTGAATACCCGATTAAATAAATAATATTGATGTTAGTATTTCCGTTGTGAAGTTTTTACCTTGATATGTAAAACCCTTTTCTATAATATTTATAATAAAAACCTCATTTTTCAAAAACTGCCAGTTACAAGGGTTTTTTTTGTTTGAATTTTGATGTTACAATAAAAAAAAATCTAAGTTCTTTTGTACGTTTTATTTATAACAGCTTAAAAAAGTTTGAATACATCTTGGCGCATGAAACGAACGAAGTTAACACCATGGTTGTTATATGAATCGTCGCACGTGATTCAAAAATTGCCAATGATCTCTCCGCACATGATTCAAAAATTAATGCTGATTTTCACCACAAGTATTGAAGAAGCCTGTCGCAAGATCGTTAAATAAAAATTATATCACGCGATTTGTATAAAGTACGGAACGTAAGGTAATATAAATTCTTTATATATTACTTATATTACTTATATAATATATAAGGGAGGTGGATAAAGTTCATCTTACGTTCCGTGCCTTATACAGTTAATGCTTCTATCGAAGCTCTCCAGAACGGCGTTATGCAATTACCAGAAGACGATCAACAAAGTTTGACGAACCGAGAAAATATGCAAATTTTTATCGAGAGTAGCATATCATTCGTTGAGAGTATCCAAGATTATCATATGACACACAATACTTAGTATATTTTATTGAGATTTTTAATTAGACAAATAAATACAATAACTACTTGAAAAAAGAATACCTTTTTGATGAAATTATTTGTGAAATAAATAAATAAATAATAATAAAATAGAATAAATAATAAATAAACGCCAAAAAAAAATCATTTCCTTTTATTATTGATAAAATAATAAAACTACGGTTACACAACTTTACCTTTTGCTGCAATAAATAAATTCTTTCTTTTAAAATATCTAAAGTGAAAAAAATATCTAGATGGGGAAACTTATATTCCTCATGTTTGAATGGTTAGGACAGCATTAATAATTAATTGTTCTTTCTCAGGTATTTAACTGTTAATAATAGGAAGATAAAGAATTAGAAAATTTTGACAATAAAAGAGTATAGCTGCGGAAATGGGGACACGTGATACGTAATACCGTGAGACGACATTGGGTTAATTATTAATTGGGAACGTTCAAATTATGTTCAACGTGGATGGGCAAAAATCGGTAATTAAACCTTTAATGTTAAAAGAACATTCGATCAATTAAAATCAACGAAGAAAAGATCGAACGTGAAATTTACCGCGATTATGATAAACATATATTGTGGTCATGTGAACCATTTTATAGTACAGAAACTTTAAATATTATATCATCAGCGTCCCTTAAATGTTTTGATCAGATGATAGAAATTTAAAGGTATTTATTTATACCTTTTATACTATAATAAACGCCAAGTAAATTCGGTAAATTTTGTCGAATTAATAAATTGGAAAAAGATCATTTCCCAGCCCAATAACCTAATAAGCCCAACTCGTTAAAGTTACACAAACTTTTTAATCGAATATTTAATTATTCGACTGCATTCTTTTTTTTTTTCATGACTTTTTTTTAAAAAAAAATGATACAACTTCCCTCTGATTGCCTTGAAGAAATTTTTGAACATTTAGAACAAGATAGAAATACATTATATTCATGTTTATTGGTTAATCGACTTTGGTGTGAAAGTTCAGTTAGAATATTATGGAGAGATATTTGGAAATTTACAAATATTACGAATACAATATTAAGACAAAGAATATCAAATAAAATTTTTAATATATTAATTAAATTTCTTTCTAATGAAACAAAAGAAAAATTACTTAAAAATGAAATATTAATACCAAATATAAAAACAAAAAAACCAATATTTAATTATCCATCATATTGTAAAGTAATATCAATAAGAGAAATTATTCAAATAATAATTAGTAATAAAAAATTATATAAAACAAAGAATAATATAAAAGAAAAATATTTCTTAATAACAAAAGAAATAATTAAAATATTTATAAAAGAAATAACAACATTAAATAAATTAATATATTATTGGGAAGAAAAAGATTATTGGGATTGGAATAATTATTATAATAGAAATATTCCAATAATTAAAAAATTATCAGGAGGAGGAAATGAAATAAAATGTTTAGATTTAACAGAATTAAGATGTAGTACAAACATAGCATCAGAATTATTTTATCAATTATCAAAAATAAGTTATAATATAAAATTAATATCAATAGATTATAATAATGAAATATCCAATGGATTAAAAGAATTAATTTATGTTCAACAAAATTTAAAAAATTTTTATATAACATCAAGAGGTTCATCAGGAGATATAAATTATGAAAATATAACAAATTCATTAACAAAACATATAAATAAATTAAAAATATGTGGAAAAAAAAATGAAGGACCTTTACCACCAATTAATAAATTTATAAATTTAAAAGAAATTAATTTACTATTTTTTAAAGATGATAAATTATTAAAAATAATTTATCAACAAATTAATTATATACAATTACAAATTTTAAAATTATCATTTAAAAGTTTACAAGTTGATTTATTAATTAAATTTTTAGAAAATAATGGAAAGAATTTAATACAACTTTATATAAGTTATCATGATAATACATATGATCCATTAAATTTATCTATAGCAAAATTTTGTCCAAATTTAAAATCATTACATAGTCCATTTATTAAAAATGAAATTGAAACATTAAAAATAATTTTTATTAATTGTAAAAAATTAGAAAGTATTAATATTTTATGTGGTAGTTTATATTTAAAAGAGAATGAATTATTAAATATTATTTCAAAATATTCTTCAAAAAATTTTCATGAATTAAAATTACGATATTGTTTAGATTCAAATATATTATTAAAAGATTTAGAATCTTTTTTCATTGATTGGATGAATCGTGTACCACAAAGATCACTTTTATTTATTATTACAAAAGGGCATCAAAATATAATTAGTAAAAAAGAAAATTTTGAAATAATTGAAAAATATCAAAAATTAGGTATTATTAAATTCAAAAAATATGACAATGAAGAATTTATATATTATGATAATAATTATTATTATCGTAAAGAAGAAATCTTTTTTTAAATAATAGAAATAATAGAAACAATAGGATTATTAATAAAAAATCATTTTTTATTTCGAACCGTCTTGATTTATGAAGAATGATCTTGTATAGTTTTGTAATCACGAGAATGACGAGATGATTGAGGTGATCAACACTACCCATACATACTATAAATTTACTATATTAAGCTTTTTCGAATTTAGTGCCATAATAACGTCATTTATTATATTACTAATTACTGACATACTGTACGTCAAAAAAAAAGTATAAATATCGCGAGAAAAAATGAATTCCTCAGAAAATTTTCAATTTGTTTTACTAGTAAATATTCGCATATTCAATATAAGTAAAAGTATTCGCAAACCAGCCAGTAAATATATTTATTATAAGTAAAAATATTCGTAAAACAGTCAGTATATTCAATATACGCAAACCATAAACCTTCAAGTAATACAGTCAGTATTCACAATATATTCACTATACACCTTTAATTAATAAAACTAAAAATGCCAGTTCAAATTCAAAATAAATCTGAACTCGATCAATACATTAATAGTGGAAGTTTGGTATGTATAGTTCAATTAATCGAACTATTACTTCTTGATAGTACCATTATTAATAAATATAATTTATTTATTTTATTAGGTCGTGGTTGATTTTTGGGCAGATTGGTGCAGTCCTTGTAAAACAATGGCTCCTGTATTCGATAAACTCTCAAAGGAATTTCAAAATGTGCATTTCCTTAAAATAAATACTGATGAACAATCTGTAAGTATCTATTTCACATTTATATTTATAAAAACATACAAGTTTTGTTAACTTTTTTTTTTGAACTTTTAAAAATTAATAGGAATTATCAGAAGAATATCAAATTACTTCTTTACCAAGTTTCTATTTCTTTAAAGGCGGTAAAAGATTATTAGAAGCTGATATTATTGGTTCTAATAAATCAAAATTAGAAGAGAATGTTAAAAAATTTCAATAATGATGATTACTTTTGATTATTTCGGATTATTTCGTAAAAATAAATTACATAATCCTTTCACATTTACAATATTTTTATTTGTTACATTGTGTAAATGACTAAATGACTAATGAGTGCTTATAATGACTTTCATTTCATTTTAGTTGATCATAACACATATTTAGTTATCATTGCTTTATCGATTTGCCGCAATAAAAAAATGACTATTTCTGTTTTATCGGTATATTGACATCATCTATTACTGCTTTTGAAGTATATAAAGTTTCTCAAATGATTTACGCGTTTTTTATCATCCAAAAAAAATCATTTTTTTCCTAATATTACAATAAAGTTATGGCGCAGTATATTACTAAATGAATCCTTATTTATTAATTCGTATAAACATTTGAGGATTTTAATACGTTACACCTTTTATACATTTTACCGTAATCTTTAACAAGCGGAATTAGTGTTAAAATTTTCCGGAAATATACGAATATAGTTTTTTATTGTATATATAAAAAAGTATATAAAAAGTGATTTTGAATTATTATCTTTTTTAAAAAATATTTTTTCTTTGTTTTTTTTTTTAAAAAAAAAAAAAATCATTTTATATTATAAAACAAATATAATAATAATAACAAAAAAAAATGCTTTTTCAAGGATATGAATTAGAAGTTTTAATAAATAATATTTTATTAGAAGAATATCTCGGTCCAAGAAAAAATGTACCGGTAAATTGATTTATTTTAATATACATTATATATATATATATGTATAAATTTTTACATAAATTTATTCCTTTTATTCCTTTAAACACGTTATCTTTAGTATAGATATACAAGTCCTAATTGGGTCGATAATTATCAAACTGGAATAAGGATGGAAAGGTAATTTAAAAATTTTATCTAATATTTTTTCCATATGTTTACGTATTTTTAAATATTTTTACATATTTTTACATATTTTTACATTTTTTTTTTTTTTCTTTAGTAATTTTCTATATTACATCTTTTTACCTACCTCATCAACTCAATTCACGGTTCGAGTATCATCATCAGAAGCATCTTATTTGAAACCTATCGTCGCAGAAATAAGAATTAATGGAATCCCTACAAATGAAATGTCAACCTCCTATTTCCCTTCTTCTTTAAATCCAAAAGGTTTATCTTTAGCTGATTCAGGAAAGAGACAACAACTTTGTACTTTAAATAATCAAAATCAACAATTAATTGGTGCTATTTCAGTATTTTTTTATAAAACTGAATCCCTTTTACAAAAGAAATCTGAAATTCCACTTGCTGTTTTACATTTACATTATAGGTCTAAAGAAATGTTTACGAACTTAATTCAAAATAAAGTTATAAACTTTATTATGCCGATTTATGATTACGTTGAAAATGATAAAAATATTATTAAAGAAGAAGACAATTTATCTTTACAAGTAATAAAATCAGAAGAAGGAAATAATATTTATGATAATGTTTTTGGTGATGAATCTTTACAGGGTAATAATCAAATACTATATAATAATAATGGTGAATTTCATTGGAATATTCAGGAACAACCAAGAAACTTGGAAATTATAGAAATACTTGATGATTAATTAATTTAACTTTGTCAAAATAGAATTTATAGAAAATACATCTTTCAATACATTTATTTTTAAACAATACTAAAAGTATTTCATTCATAATAATAAAATAATAATTAAATTGTTAGTTAAAATGATGGATATTTATTATAAATCTATATAATTTCACTTTACTCTGAAAAGAAAAAATTCTTCTACATAAGAACACATTAGAAAATAATAAAGTCTGATATGTCATTTCGATTAAATAATATAAATAAAAATATGAAGTATATTTTATTGCCAATTCAAATGTTTTATCTGTGAAATACTTCACATAAAATACATGACCTATAAACCAATTTTATATATGAATTTAGTTATAATTAATTAAAAAAAAAAAAAACATTGGAAAAATTAAAAAAAATAATTACTCTTTGTAATTCAGGTTTGACTACTCCAAAAATTGATGCGGTTCCTTGATCTCCTTCACTGCCAGATTCTGTATCACTCCAATGTTGGTCTCTCGCGTGGAATCGTGCTCGTCGACATACGATGTGAGCATAATATACAGGAGGAACCTATTAAACGAAATAATACTATAAAGAATGTCCTCAAAAAATAGTAAAACGCAGAGAAAAAAAAAAAAAAAAATACCAAAGAAACGGCGCGTGTACAACGCGCATAGACATAACACAAATTGTATGAAAGTGCTTGGAGCCTAAAATAAAAATTTACATTTATATTAAACCCGCATTGATTAAATTAGTTTACTCTTTATAATATCAGTATTTACCCATCAGATGTGAAAGTATTTTCATCAAATAGGACATGATAATGAGTTGGTCTAGATGTTCCTTGTAATCCAGCATGGCTTTGAAGATCTAAAAAAGAATTTTAAAATATTAAGTGTATTCTGTGAAAAATTTTAAATCAATAACAATACGTACAAAAATCAAATTCATAAGGATGAGTGATTCCGGATTCGATTACAGTCCCAGGAAGGCAATTTCCAGTTCTATCAGAGTCGCGTTTGTCCAAGGGGAAGAAGCGAGTATGATGTCGCTTCTGAACAACCACAAAAGTGATGGATGGCTTGTATGATTCCTCAAGAGACATACATGCAGCTATTTCAAGAAAAAAAATTAATAAGTGAAAAAATTAAATTTAATATTATAATTATATACCTCTAACTGCTTTAATTTCTCCATTGAGCACTTGATCAAATTGTCCTTCAGAAACGCCATCGCGATAAAAGAGAATTCTCTCTGGCTTTCTTCCGCAAGTTTGGTAGAATGTTTTTAAAAGTTCCTTGGTCATATTAGCCAAGTCCGCAATAATTTCTGTACGACCCGTTTGAACTCTAATAGATGCCGAATATCTTGATGCCTTAGCATCCATGGAAGCGCAAAGAGCTGCAATTGAAGGTCGAGAAGGTTCACCTATTTATTTTCGATTAAAAAAAACGCGTCACAATAAATAAATAAATTGAGAAAAAAATATTCTCTAAGCGTAAAAAAAATTATTGTTACTCACCAGGAGATGGATGCGAAATATCAGCGCCCATAAGAATAGTAGGTTTATCGGAGATGAAAGGAATTTGACTAGGACTTATGAATGAATTCATTCCACCGAGTTTTACGTTGATTTTAAGACACAAATTTGCACAATACTGTTTTTTTGCCTGCATCATGTGTCGGCTTTGTACGCATTGACTTGCAACACCAATAACAGTATCAGTGACGCGTTTAATTTCAGCATAAAGAGGAACACCGGTGTTTGGAAGAACACAAACAATTAATTGTGGTTGAGCTTTAGCGGCGTTTCCTGCATGAAGCCATGCAGTCTTTAGGGTGCCCTCAATATCACCTTGAGAATTTGTATGCATAATAGGAGGTGTTCTATTCGGAATACTCTAAAAGGTAAAAAAAAAAAGTCGATTAGCTATAGTATATCGTAAACGAATTTAATAAACTTATTATTTAATACCATTCCATTATCTTGACAAGTGATTACTAGCTCACGTATGAATGCTTGAATAGATTGTGTTGGAAGATCGCGTTCTGATCCAAATGCAACAATTGCCCACGAACCAAGGACAGCGCCTTGTGCCACTTTCTTATCTCTTAAATTCCAGGATCCTTCACGTGGTTGAAAACTATGTTCACGCGAAGACGGATGATATTGTAAAGTTGGTACGGGGAGGACACGTGCTTGAATCTATTAGAATAAGAAAATATTTATATTGATTGAATTATAATAACTGAAGTTATCATACAAAAGTAATCAAATAGTTCACTTACTACAATCATTTCGCTTGCGACTTCTAAACCAAATTGTTTAAGATACTCATTCTTACGATAATTCAGAATATCAACGCCTTGTTTAATCTTATTTGCACGTAAATGAGGTGACTGACAAGTGAATTTGATCATATCAGCGGTCTGTTTTTCATTTAATTTGCGGATGTGACGTTGACCCTAAATTTATATATTGTTAATAACATGATTTACGTAATGTGAAAAGAAAAATTTTAATAGTTACTTCAACGACTTCGCAAACTTCAAGTGGAAGATAAATATTCTTTTGAACTGTTACACAAGGAAGATGTGAGTAGGATAAACGTCGACCGTATTGTCTTGCAAAATAATCTGCAACATCTGTAGTAACACCATTGCCAGCATCAAACATTGTTTGAGATGCAGGTGTTGGAGTAAGCTTAATGATTTTGAAATTACGTTTGGAAGTTGCTTCTCCACGGTGTGTGACACGAATTTTAAGATTCTTTAATGTTTTTTCAACTTTGATACGATCTTTATCACTAAATCCTCGACGAAGGTCATCAGGGTTTCTACGGCCTAAAATTTTAGTTACCATTTGTATAAGAGGTCCCGATTCATAAAACGCAGTTGCACTCAGATCAACATTGATTAGCATTTTTTCTAATTAGGAAATAAATTTACGAATGAATTAAAATGGTATACTTAAAAATTTTATCTAAGAAATTAGGGTACTTCATATACTACAAACCTTGAGCAGGACGTGCCGATTGATAATATCCCTGCCAGACTTCAGCACCTCCAAAAAGAGGTTCGGCTCCAGCATTAGTAAAAAAAGAACGCCCAACCGTAACATGTCGCATTGAAGGGAGATGACGAATTAACACATCAAGTGCCATAGTCGCTAAATTTTTATATTTATTACATATAATTTCCGTAAAAATATCTAATAAAATCAAATATTATTTAATTTACCTGTTAAACAATTTGATGTCATAGGATGTTTTCCTTGAAGAAACCGATGAAGTTCATCCATGTAAATTTCTCCAGCTTTCTTGATTTTGATCTTAAAAGTCCTTGGAGTACGTTTACTAGGAATTGTTTCATCTTCAGGAAGAGTAACCTAAATTTATAATTATACATATATTCAATGACGACAATAGTAAAAATAATTTCGTTAGTTTTAACTCACGTTAAATGTAGCCGTATCTCCAAATGGGAAGCTTCGTGGAGCGAAAATATTCTTTCTCCCTAATGAAGAAAAATAATAATAATAATAATAATAAAAATTAAAAGTTTTTATCGTTATTATACTTAAATATCCTAAAATGAAAACGAACCATCAAAGACGGGTCTAATTCCATTCAACGGTCCTTCACGACTAATCCTTTCAAATTCTCCAAATATCTTTCTATTGAGCGCGGGAGGTACATCGGGAGTAATTGTGACGTCATAATGAATAATATTTTGTGTTGGCAAAGCGAGAACTTCAAAGAAATTGGAACGAACACGAATTTGTCTTCCCAAATTTCCTAATGTTGGCCTTCTACAGAAAGTACCAATAAGAAACTGCGTGTCAGACATGTTTTAAAATTGATATTTTTATGAGTAAAGAGGGAAATACGATAAAATTTTATAATGGGCAGGAAAAACCGATGTGGAATATTGAAGTACAGGAGAAAGGAAAGATGTAGAAAAGGCTGTTCTTTTATATACATTTCAAAATGGAAATTCTTTACGCGAAACCACCGAGGATAAATTGGTAAATATTGTGTAATTAATTCCGTTAGGTTTGTAACATGATTATTTGATATAAAACATAGGTATAAATGGGTTTGCATAGGAAATATTTCTGTGGAAATACTATTTTTCGAAAATTTTTCCTGCAATGTCTCAAAATAGCAAATTTATGAGTCGTATAAGAAATATTTACAAAAAAACATAATAAATTTACATTTATAATGATTATGTTACTTTATTTCTTGACTTAATTTTATGATTAATTTATTTTTATAATTTCTCATGTTTGAAGCTTTCACTGAGATTCATTTATGTATAACAAAAGGGATTATTTATTTGTTGTTCGATTGTTGAGCGAGACTAGATTTCAATAAACTTTGTATAATTTTAAGTCTCATGCTCGAAAGTAGAGATGCTGTTTTTAATATATACGGATCGTAATAATTCTTTCTCTACATATTTATATTATTAGGCTTGAAGAATATTACGTTCTAATTTTCGACCAATGGTATTACAACTTCATATTCATACTGCGTTTGAACAACAATTTAGTATTCGATTTCCCATAAAATTCTATCTTGGTAACATAATAAATAGGTTTAGGGATACAAATTTTTTTTTTTTTTTTTAGTACAGTATTATCTAAGTTCGTGGTACAATGCTCGAACTGTTCAATTGAAATTATTGAAATTGGATTTGGTTTTATAAACAAATTATTTTATTTCTAATTTCTAATTTTATTAAAATCAAAAAAATAAATAAATAAAAATATAAAATATAAAAAAATATATGATTTGGTTTTATCATTTGCTATTTTGTCGTTTTTGTCGTTTACTTAAAGTTTATTAAAATGTTATTGATAACGTTAATAGAAATGATCGTGGGTGAACTACAGTACATAATCCATCTTGTGACACAAACAAATTTTTTTAATTCACTGAACCGGAATTTTTTGATGTTTTGTACCGGCTATCTTTTCTATTTTCTTACTTGAAAAGTCTTATTTATTTGTCATTGAAAGTTACGATTTAGTTTTTTTTAAAAAAAACATTTTCTTTTAATATAAGATAAATAACTTATATAAACCAGTTAAAAAGAAAACGATTCCATTTCTATGTCACATAGTGTAAGAAATTCAATAGGAAGGGGAAGTGGTCCTGGCGAAGGGTCTCGAGGCACTTTTCAGAATGGAAACCGCGGAGGTAGTCCTTTCGCTGGTAGAGGTCGTGGTATGGGGCGTGGTTTGGGGCGTGGTCGTGAAGAAATGTCTAATGAAGAATTAGAGCAAGTTAAAACTAAACAATATAATGTTCTATTGGAAAATTTACAATCCTCCGCACTTTCATATGATGGAAGTGACAAGCTTGTTTTTGTTTCTGGTGATAGATTGGAAGGTGCATGGCGTGGCTTGATCCGAAAAGAATTTCGAGACCAACAGCAAATGAGATGGTTTATAACATCATGTTTGTTGGATGCTGATAAACAAACTGGTGTTGCAGTGGAAACTCTCGTAGAGCAATTAGGAAATCCTGAACTTGGAATTTCCCGTATCCGAGAAATTTGTCAGGTATTATTTTTGTTTAATTAAATTTTAAAAGTATTTAAAAGGAATTCATCAAATTAACCTGTCTTCTTTATTAGTACAACATGTCTGTTGATGCTGGATTCAAAAAAAATTTTGCTTCATTTCAGTGTGTCATTCTTCCCTTTCTTGCACTATTAATCCGTCATGGGGTATTTAATACTAATATTATATCATAAATATGTATTTATGTAATATTAATATTTCTTCTTTATATCTAATGAAGGTACGCGGTTCAACCTTGGAAAAACAACTTAATACCATATATTCAGTTGTTTATTCTTATATCGACTCATTCTTCCATGATAAGATCATGAGATGTTTGGATGAATTAGTTAGAAGGAATTCACTTCTGGATAGAAACGTGGATAAAGACAAATTATTAAAAAATGATCCTGATATTTTTATTCCTTCAACATTCGGTCAACCATTCTTAATTCTTGCGCGTTTTTTAAATGAATTGCTTTGTCGAATTAAAGAAGCTTCCGTTAATGATACTGTCCACAAAATTGTACAACGTCTTCAAGATGCGTCTAATGTATGGAAAGATTCTTTACTCGCAGAACGTCAATCGATATCCGGATCTGAAGATGCATTGGTCTCACATCCAGAAAAAAGACGGTATTATTTTGATATCTTAGATGTCGAAATGAGAAGATTAAATTATGTCTTGTCAGACGGACGTAGATCTCTTAATGCTGCAAAAAGAGAGGCTAATAAAGCTGAAATTTCTGAAACTGTTCTTGAAAGTCGTAAAATGGCGAAAATGAATGAATTTGAAAGATTGTACGATCCGCCAGGTTAGTTTCACCGAAGTTATTAATATCTTTTTTTTTTTTCTAAGGTTATTTTAATTTAATTAAATTACTGATTTTATTAATTTATTGTATAAAAAAGGTGAATTATCAAAATATGGTCCAAGACATGATAATGATTTTCTGGAAATAAGCAAAATAGCTGTAATTCCTACAAAGGATGAAATTTTGGCATCACGTGAACCTTCTTTGCCTTCATTTATGTTGGATCATCCAGATTTTTTACCTGATGGAATTTCGCGCCTTCTTGACATGCAATTCAGATTATTGAGAGAAGATATGCTTAATCCAATCAGATTAGGTATTTCACGCTTCCTGATAGATTTAGATAAAGATAAATCTAAAGTCAAAAAGTTACGTGAAGAAGGTGGTAGATTTAGATATGATAAGGGCGATATTAGTGGTGACCTAAATGTGTACGCAAATATTAGATTTGTTTCCATTAACGTACATAAATATCGTGGATTTATTTCTCGTGTCGCATTCACGTACGTAAGAAAAGAAGGATTGTTATAATATAGTTATTATTATTATTTGAGAAAAAAAAAATTATTTATTTTTTTTTTTTAGTCCACCAAAGATAAGATCGGCTAAAGATGAGAAGTATCGTCTTCAGTATTGGGAACGATCAAGAAAATTAATGAATGGAAGTTTGATTTGTGTCCTTTGGCAAAATGAAAATGGCAATTCGCTCAATAATAATGAAACAAATCCAACACCGACTTATTCACTTTATTTTGGTGTTGTCGTTGAAAAAAACGAGAGACTTCTATCTCGGTTTGAAACTGAGGCTATGATCGATATTCATTTCATAGAATCTTCAATCTATCCTATTGTTTTAGAAGATATTTCGATGGGAAGAAACCATCCTGCTCGTGTTAAGCGATTTATGGTTGAATCGACGGGCGTATATTTTGAATCTTACAATCATATATTAAAAACGTTGCAGGGTACTAATCCTTCAGATGTTCCATTTCGACAATATTTGATATCACCGCTCGAAAGACAATATACTCAAGTAGCAACTCCCTTGTATACGAGAGCTCCTAGATTTCATTTTGATTTATCAATTTTATTAAAAAATCATGGTGATTCTTTATTATTAAATGTACAAGATGAAACATCAAAAGAAAATGCGATCAAAAAATTATCAACTCCAGATGTTAGCACTCTTGATGAAACACAGTCTAGAGCGTTGGTTGATGCTTTGTCTAGAGAAATCGCTTTGATTGAAGGTAATTATTATAAGATCAATTATAGTTAAGTTGAGTTTTCCTTATCTTAATTTAATTTTTTAATTCAAGGTCCGCCGGGAACTGGGAAAACGTTTGTTGGTGTTGAACTTATGAAAGTTTTACTTTCTGAAACAAATCGAAAAGCAACTTCAATTGGACCAATTCTTACTATTTGTTACACAAATCATGCATTAGATCAATTTCTCGAATGCCTACTTGATAATAATATTACCAAAATCGTTCGTTTAGGAGCTAGAAGTAAATCCGATAGAATAAAAGAGTTTTATTTGGATACTATTTCTCGAAGTCGTCCTAAGATTTCTCATCAAGGTTTCATGTTATATGAAGCTTTTGATAAACTCGAAGAAATTAAAAAAGAAGCAGTAAAGTTGCAAGATAAGCTTTCTAGGAGGTGGATGACATGGGATGATGTTAAAAATTATTTGTTAGTCGAACATACTGGTCATTATTTACAATTTGCTGATAATCATGGACCAGATGTTCCAGCTCTTTTATTAAATATTGACAGTGAAGAATTTGACCAAAATGAATGGACAATAGTTGGTGAAGAGAAAATGAAAAACCAACCGATATGGGATCAATGGATTAATGGGGTTGATATTCGGTAATTACATTTTAACATATTTAATACTAAATCAATCCTTGTGTTTAATATCAAATTTTTTATTTTAGACGACGTGAACAATTAATTCAAGCAATTTACCGTAATCAAAATGTAATTGAAAAAAAAGCTTCTAAAAAAAGAAAAGACAATCAAGATATTTCTATGTTACAATCTAATAATATGTATGATTTTCTTATGAATGTACCTCGGGATGGTGAGGAAGATGGTGATAATGAGGATGATGAGGATGATGAGGATGAAAATGAAGAAGATTATTCTGAAGATGATGTTAATAATGACAATTTACAAGAAATTGATAGTACAGATAATATAGAAAATGACGAAACCGAGTATTGGTTACAAAAGTTAGTGATTCCAGACGAGGTGAGTTATAGATTCGAACTTCGTTAAACGTTAAAATTATTTTTTTTTTTTTTGATTCGTTTATATATTATATTTTTAGGATCGAGATTTAGAAATATTACTTGAAGATTTAGATGTATGGAATATGTCTAGAATTGAGCGTCAACGTCTACATGATCATTTTCGGGAAGCAACACGTAAAAATATCATTGATGAACTTTCAGATCTAGAAAAAAAGGTATTTAATAAATAAATATCCTTTCTTATTATCAAATACTCTTACATTTTAACATTTATTATCATCTATTAGCATACCGCAAAGAGAAAAGAAATTGAAGATATTAATGACGAGGGTCGTCGTGAAATTTTAGAAAATTGTCAAGTTATTGGATTAACTACGAGTGGAGCCGCAAAATATCAATCGTTAATTCGTTCTGTTGCTCCACGTGTAAGTTACTTATGACTATTAAAATGTTCTGATCCTTAAAAAAATTTACTTACCGATGTATCTATACATCTGTAGATAATTATAGTAGAGGAAGCCGGAGAAGTTTTAGAAGCACATATATTAAGTTCATTGACACCTTCTACTCAGCATTTGATCCTAATTGGAGACCATTTGCAACTTAGACCACATATTGCTACGTATACATTATCTGTGGATAGTCAACCTGGCGAATATTACAAATTAGATAGATCTTTGTTCGAACGTTTAGGTGGATTTCTTTGAATAATACAATTTATTATTAGTTTTTACTCATTTCTTTAATTCTTTTTTTAGTGAACGAAGATGTTATTATGTCACAATTAACCACTCAAAGAAGAATGAGGCCGGAAATAGCAGATTTAATTAGGAAAAAATTGTATCCAAAACTTATTGACGGTATATAGCGGAATATTTATTAATTATTTTTTTTTTTTTTTTTTTTTATTGCAGATTGATATATCAAATTTTTTATAGGTGCTATTACAAAGGAATATCCTAAAGTTCGAGGGACTCCACATAATTTATTTTTCATTAATCATGAGCATCCAGAAGATGCTGCTGGATCTAACCAATTTGCACTTCAATCACACTCAAATGAGTTTGAAGTAGCATTTGTTGTTGAGCTTATTCGATACTTTGTTCGCAATGTAAGATTGAAAATTTTCGGTTCAGTAATAATAACTTCAAGATTACTATAATATTTCTTTTTTATCTTATTTCGTTAGGGTTATGATAAACCGAATGATATTGCTGTTTTAACCCCTTATCTTGGACAATTAATCAAGATACGAGATGCTTTACGTGAATCATTTGTTGTTGGTATGTCTATGTAATCGTTATTTCGTTTTGTAATATTAAATTTTAATTGTTTCAAAATTATATAGTAATCGATGAAAGAGATAGTCAAGATATTGCTGAGCTTCTTGATGAAGCAGACCCAGAACTTAATAGCGAATTCGAAAATCCTAATGTTGGAACAATATCAATTGCAGAAAAACGTTCGTTGCAGCGTCAAGGTGAGCAACATTTTCATTATTTTTTTTATTGTAAAATGATATTAATTGATTGTATATTGTTAGTTATATTGAGGACTGTGGATAACTTCCAAGGGGAGGAGGCGACAATAGTGATTGTGTCCTTAGTTCGAAATACGTCAAGTGGTAGCCATGGAGCTATCGGATTTCTAAAATCACCTAACAGAACCAATGTCCTTCTTTCTCGTGCAAAACATGGATTGTTTATGTTAGGTATGTCTACAATATTAAAGATGATATATTTCTAAATATAACCTACATAATTATATCCAATATAGGTAATGCGGGATTATTATCGGACCGTTCAGATATGTGGAAGTCTGTAATTAATTTAATGCGTGAAAGGTAGCCTTTGTGCATGTAGTTATTTTTAATCGGGTATTGAAAGAAAATTAAAAATGATATGGTTTTTATAGGAATCAAATTGGAAAATCTTTCCCAATCCGATGTGAATCACATCCAGATAGTATAAATTATATCAAAAGTCCTCGACAATTTCAAGAATTGTCACCTGATGGTGGTTGCAGTGTAAATATCCATTTAAATTATTACCAAGTATCAATTTAATTTGAGTTTAATTACTGATGAAATTTTGAACTTACTTTTACATAAATTTAGTTGCCTTGCCTTTGCCGTATGCCCTGGTATCTTTTTATAATTTTGAAATATTAGTATTGTTAATGAGCTACTACTAATTTATCCTATTTATATATTTTAGCGGACATAATTGTGGTATGTTTTTACATTATTTTTAAAATATTGTGGTATTTAATCTATATTGCCTAATTCATTGATTCTAACTTTATTGTTTAGCCTATAAATGTCATCCTGATGATCCAGAACACGTTGGAGCAGCGAAAGCTTGTATGCGCCCATGTTTAGAATTACACAAAAATTGTAATCATATTTGCCCGTTACCGGTACGATTACTATTTAAATTTTATTCTAATTATGTACTATATTCTTTTTTTTTTAAAACTTTTTTTTTATCCTCATATAGTGTGGAGTTCCATGTGGCGAATGTGAAATCGTTTTAGAAGATATATTATTACCTTGCGGTGAAACAAAATTCTTTATAGATTATGTTCAATACGTCGGATTTTATATTAAGATTCTAATTATCAATTTCAGGTCATAATTATCCCTCACCGAAATGCTATCAGACTCAAAATCCAAATCTAATCAAATGTACTGTTATGGTAACTCTTACGTTACCAGCATGTGGTCATGAGCAAAAGTAATTATCCTTAATACTAAATTTTTTAATATGAAATTAGATTAATTTGATAATTCCTTGAATTTCAATAGGGCACTTTGTGGTTCTTCAATTAAAGACATTAGTTGTGATCATGATTGTGGTATTATACTGGAAGATTGTGGACATCCATGTAAATTATGATTTTATTATAATATGTTAAAAGAATCATCCGAGGAAATTTTCAAAATTTATTTTTAAAAAATTATTTGTAGGTAAAAATAAATGCTTTCAATGTCAAAAGAAATCAATTGAAAAAAACAATGATGTACCGATACTTGATGAACAAGGTCATGTCAAGAGGACTGATCATTTAAAATGTGTACAAAAATGTGGAAGGATTCTTTATTGTGGTCATCCTTGTTCAGTTAAGGTATGTATCAAATATTATAATCAACATCAATCTTTAATTTTAGGAAATAATTGAATCTCCTGTTCTTTTATAAGTGTCATAGAGAAGGATGCCCACCTTGTAAAGAAAAATGTTCGATCGCGTGCCTTCATTCAAAATGCATGCAGAGTTGCGGCGATCCATGTGAGTAATCTCTACAAAAATTATTTTTCGTGTAATATCATTTAACTTGGAACATATTTTATTATTTATAGGTAGTGCATGTGCCGAACAATGCAATTGGTCTTGTCAACATCAAGGTTAGCTTGCATTTAAAATTATCAAAATTATCAACAATTTTATGGCAACTAATTTTTTTTTAAAAAAAAACATATAGGTGGTTGTGCGCTTTCTTGCGGTGCCCCTTGTAGTCGTCTGCCTTGCAATTTACAGTGTCAAAAGGTGATTGTCTTTTATTTTCTTTATTTTTAATATCTTATTTGTTAAACATTAAATTAATATCTTAATTTTTCTTAACTATTTACGAAATATAGTTATTAGAATGTGGTATGTATTTATAATCGCGATTTTTTCTCGTGCTTTACTAAGTGTGAATTACCATAAATAATTCTAGGTCATCGTTGTATAAGTGTTTGCGGTGAAGAGTGTATGTATAATATATTTCTTGATTTAGGTCACATAGATCATGTCCTAAATCTTTGTTATGTATTTATTCGTATAGGCCCCCAAGAATATTGTGTAGAATGTGCGAAGGATGAAATAAAATCACAAGTCGTCGATATTATTATGCGAGAAACTTTCGCGGATGTGGATTGGAATGCACATAGATTAATTGTATTAGAATGTGGTCATTGCTTTACCATGGAATCAATGGATTCACATATGGAGCTTGAAAAATATTATGTTGGAAAGGCCGACTTTAAGACAAGTGAAACAACATGGATCGGATTAAAGGCTCCGCCAGAGGAAATTTCAAAGGCTAAATGTTGTCCAAACTGCAGATATCCTATTAACAATGTTAACCGTTATGGACGGGTTAGTAAGAAAATTGCACTAGATGCAGCAAAAATGAAATTTTTACAAAAGTTTACAAAAACATTAAAAGGTGTTCAAGATACATTAGAAAAAATAGTTCTTTATTTGGAAACCACGAGAACCCAATTCGTTGATAAAATTGTAAAAAGTGCATCTGTGTCAGATAAGAGTGGAAAACCGAAAAGAAAACATCAAACATCAAATACAAAAGTTCCCGAACTTACACCCGTACAGCAATTTGCAGAGATTGAATATCAGGGTATTTCCCAAGCCCATGAGAAACTTTGGGCGAAGCATGTTGTTCGCTTAATTACTTGTTATCAAGATATATTCATGATTATGACTGGCACTAAGGATCCTCCATACAAACATGCGTTTGATGCTGCTGTTGTAAATTTATATCGTGTAAAATCAGCCATGGAAAACGATATTGACGATATTTTGAACCTTGTTGAAAGAATGGATACGCTTAATTTATCTGGGTCGAGTTATATGCGTAAATTAGCTTTACAGAGGGATTGTCTCCAACAAGTCGGTATTCCTTTACCTGTTATAAGTCATGGAATGTACATAAAAGCATTTTTAGAGATCATAAATGTCCAAAAGACAATGTTTATGGAAGCCAAACATGTTGTTGAGGCATTGGATTCGGCATTACTTGAAAAAATTAAGTTATTATACTTACGAAACAATGTTGACATAGCTACACAGCAATCTATCAATTCTCGTAATTCTTGGATCAGATTCACAAGATTTATTTTAGAAAAAACAATCGAACATCTCAAAATTATTTGTGAAATTGCAAAAGAAACTAAATATTATCGAGATCATTCTTTTGCATCATTGGAATTAAGCGAAGTACAATGTACATATGGAAGGTTCATTTTAAGTTATGAAATTGTGAATGATAGGGAATCTGCATCAGAACAGGCAACAAAGATGAAGAAATTAGTTTTGACTCTTTGTAAAGATATTCAACAAAGATTTATAGGTTTACAAAATTCAATTAGACTAGTTGATGGAGATCATATCAAACAACAATTTATTAATCGAATGGAACAAGTATTAAATGATGTTAAAGAATTGGAAAACTGTAAAGACAAGACCATTTTGAGAAGTGAGAAGTTAGAAATATTTAGAGCTATGAATGTGGAACTTCAAGGTTCAGGTAACTAAAAAGAAAAAAAACACCCTCATTTCGTTTATAACTTTTTTATAAATTCTTCTGTATCATAATTTAGGTCATTGGTATCAGTGTCCAAATGGTCACACAGTAAGTAAACAAATAAATAAAGTATTTCAAACAAATTTTATTTTATTAATCCTAATAATTATTATATTTTAGTATACTATTGCAAATTGTGGGCTAGCGAATCAAGCGAGTTCTTGTCCGGAATGTGGAGCTAATGTTGGAGGAATCAATTATAATTTATCTGCCGGAAATTCCGCAAATAGTGAATATGAAAGTTTATATCAATATAACATATAATCAACATTTTAAATATTTTATTAGTTTTTGGGAAGTTTTTTTTTTTTCATTTATGAAAAAATTTTGTTACTATTTTACATAAAGGAAAAATTGATTTTATCTAATATTTAAAATTGTATCAAATTTACGTAAATTTCGTGATATTTATGATATTTATGATATTTATATTTGTGAAAAAAATCTTGGAAAAATTTCGGAAAAATTCCGGTTAAATATAAAAATTCCGGAAATTTATTTTTTCAACCGGTAAGGAGTTTAATTATAATCGTGCATATACAATTTGGAGTAACCAGAAAGACGTACTGGCTTTAAATAATCATATTGTAATAAACTACAAATAATAAATAATAAAATAAAGATAAAAAACTTTTTTGCGATATAAATTTATTAAATAAAATTTCCGGTATTTACAAAATATTCCGGAAGTCTGCTACGCCACGACCGGAACAATTCCGGGATTATAAGATTTTACCGGTTTTATCAGAAATTTACCGGAAAACCCGGTTAAATTATAATGGATTTTCCACGCTGTTTGTGGGACTATACCACCGCTGGGGTAGTTGACTATACCCGAACTTAAGTTACACAAATAATCACCCAAATTTACGCCTTTTAAGCTATAAAAGGAGTAAAGTATTATTTGATGCTTATTAATAATAATGTTAAAGATGAAATTTGGTGTCACAATTTCTAATATATAAAGCAGTAATAAAAAACTCAATAAAAAATAATGGCAGATAGATCATCTTTAGAAGAAGGGTTTCAACCTACCAATGAAACTCAAGGCTTATTACATCATCGAACTGGACCATGGAAAGTGCATTGTGTAAAAATTGCAATTATTTTAATCATTTTTGCTGGAATTATATTTGTGTTCGTTGGCATTGCTAGTATTTTTGAGTCAAATGGTAAATTATGACATTTTTGTAATAAATAAATAATGAAATGATTTATAAACATCTAACATCACGTGATCTAACAGATCCCACAAATCCCCATCTTGTAATTGTACGTAATGGAGCGGTATCAGCAGAGCAGGAGGATTGTTCTAAAATTGGTGTACAAAGTAAGTTGAATTTATTTAAAAAAAAGCATAATGTTTTCAATTAAATCATTTAATCAATCGAATTCATGATAGTGCTCAAAGAAGGCGGTTCAGCAGTTGATGCTGCTATAGCGGCTGAAATATGTGTTGGTACAATAAACGCATTTTCAGCTGGTATTGGAGGGTAGGAGTTAATATTGACACCAACTTGAGTATCTTCTTTGCATGATCAAATTTGGTAATCAAATATTATGTTCTTGTAGAGGAGGATTTATGATAATTCGTGATTCTAATGGGACAGCCGAAGTTATTGATTTTCGAGAAACTGCTCCCGCTGCTGCAAATAAAACTATGTTTAAAGATAAACCAATACTTGCTAAATATGGTGGACTTTCTGTTGGTATTCCGTAAGTATATTTGTAATTAAATTTATTTTTACATTATGATTATTAATCAAAATTTAGTGGAGAGGTTCGTGGAATAGAAATCGCGCATCAAAAGTGAGGTTCTTTACTTATGTTGTTTACTTCTGGTTTATTTTTATTTTCTTGTTTTAATAAGAAATTTGATATTATAGATATGGAAAATTACCTTGGAAACGTCTTTTTGAACCATCAATCAAATTAAGTCGTGATGGGTTTAAAGTACCAGCAGAGTTAGCTATAAAAATGAAAGTAAGAAAAAAAAAAAATTAGATGTTACAATGTATATATTTAATACATTCAATGTTTAATGGGTTATATTTAATTATTTCTTAGTGGTACGAAAAAGCTCTTTTAGAAACTCCAAATTTAGCCTCTATTTATGCACCGAATGGAAAATTGTTGGGTGAAGGAGATCTTTTGAAACGCACAAACTTTTCTAAAACTTTGGAATTAATAGCTGAAAATGGGTCTGAAGTTTTTTATAGAGTAATTATGATTCATGGATTTACTTAAAATGATTCTTAAGGAATTTCATTTCTTATATTAATGTTTCCTGTTTTAGGGATCAATCGCTAAATCCATCATAAAAACTATTCAAGCTACTGGTGGGATTATGACCCTTGAAGATTTATCAAATTTTGAACCGGTTGTATCAAAACCTATTTATGGATATTATCATGGACGAAAGGTGGTAATAGTTAATTTAAAGACTTGTTTCCGTAAATCTTTTCTCATTTAATTATAATTTTAATATAGATTATGACCTTAAATGTTCCTTCTGGTGGACCTGTTTTGTTGAGTATGTTAAATATATTGGAAGGATTTCAATTGACTAGGGGAGAGCTCAATGGATTAAATTTACACAGGTAGTTATTATTTTATTTTATTTAATTGTATTTTTTTTAAAAAAATACACTCTATTTTACTTGGTATAATATTTGACATTTCTTTCAACTAAAAATTTTAGAATAATTGAGACTCTTAAGTGTAGGAATTTTTTTTTTCGAATTTCGTATTTGCGATGAATTTTTTTCGATTTCCTATTGACACTTCATTTTATATAGTTGGGTTTGCTTTGCGTACTGAAATGGGAGATCCACCCTTTGTAAGTATCATAAATAAAGTTTCAAATGATATTATTGTTATAGCTTATTTGTTATAATTTATAAAAATTTTAGACTAATAATACAGAACGTATTGAAGAAATAATGACTAAGGATTATGCGGCTAAAATACGAAAGAATATATCAGATGTAAGTTTATAGTATTATTTTTTTAATTTAAATAATTATTAATAAACTTAATTCTTTACTTTAAAGTCAATTACATTCGAACCATCATATTATAACCCATTGTATGATGTGTCTGAAGATCACGGAACTACTCATATTTCAACTGTTGATAAAAATAATCAAGCGGTAGCTTTGTCTTCAACGGTAGCTTATTCTCATGAAATACTTTTTCTCTTCTTTATCAAAAATTACATTATAAATCTACATTTAATACTAATATTTTAATTTCTTTAATCTAAAGGTTAATTTGATTTGGGGATCACAAGTTATGGATTTAGAAACTGGTATTTTACTTAATGATGAAATGGATGATTTTTCCATACCTGGTGTTCCAAACTACTTTGGTTTATACCCTTCTCCGTATAATTTCATTAGTAAGTTACTTGTAATTAATCTTTTTGTTATGTTTTGATTATGATTAATTGATTAATTACGGTTAATTTAGTTCCTAGGAAAAAGCCTTTATCTTCTTGCGCACCAGCAATAGTTGAAAATAATGGGGAGTTTGAGATGGCTATAGGTGGTAGTGGTGGTTCTAGAATTCTTTCTTCAGTTCTTCAGGTACATAATAAGACTTTGAATAATAATAATAAAATTTTCAAATATCTACATTATATATAATTAAATTGTTTTTATATTTTTAGGTATTGTTAAACGTATACGATTTTGAACAAGATCTTTTAACTTCAATACATACACCGAGAGTACATCATCAATTGATTCCAAATGAGGTAAGTAAATTAGTTAGATTATTGGTATTTGATCTTTTACATTAATATATTATTCCACATTTAGATCACAGCCGAAACAGGATATTCAAAAGAATTACTTGATGAACTTAAGGGAAAAAATCATAGTGTATGTATATCATCATTTATTCTTTAAAGTTTTTTTAATCCTCATTACTGAACACCGTTATTTTAAAATTATATAATTCTTTTTAGATAAAAATTATTGAATATAAATTAGGAGTGTCGGAGATTCAAGCTGTAATGAGATTACCAAATGGACTGATTAATGGTAAGTATGAAATCTTTTACTTTTATTTTGAATGAAATATTATTAACTGATGAATTTTTTTTAGCTGCAAGTGATTATAGAAAACATGGAATTGCAGCAGGATATTAGTTAAATTTATTTATTAAAAATTATTTATTTGTTATTATTTATTTTTATACAATATCTTTTTTAATTAATTAACTACCCTGTATTTAAATGAATTTGTATATGGTAAATACATGATCTAAATTTAATATATTGATGGCTTAGTAATTTGATTAAATAAATATTTCAAATTAAAAATGACGACTACTGCTATATCACAATAATCAATTAATCGATTGTAGCTTAAAATTAATTAACTTACTATCGGGAACATTTCTTGTTGGAGGCGGACAGAGACATCTTTCGGCCGAAATTGACAAGTGTAACTGATGTTAATATGAACATGGACATAAAAGACCGGACGTGGACCAGACGGTCAATATCCTTGTGCACTTCTCATGATAACACTGCTGTCAGTCTCACGATTTTTAATCATATACTTAATCACCACTTGACGTAATTTTTTAAATGAATAATCATATTGAGCGCGTTCACAAACTCAATTGGATTGGATTGGAGTTGGATTGAGATTAATGATTTCGTGTAACGAGATTTTTTTTGAAAGCTCATTATACGTTAAATGGGATATCCGATTTGATCGACTCTATTATGGAATGGTTCTATAATTGGTACAAACAAATTTTAATTATAGAAATTTGTCTAACTAGGTATATATTTTGTTAATATATTACCGTAATTTTAAGGTTTGAAATAAAAACTAAAATATTTTAATATCATATATATTAATCGTCCAGTTGAACGCTTCCAAATTTAGTCGTTATAAATGGTTCTTATCTTCTTATCTTCGCATCTTTGCGGGCTAAACTCAATAATTATATTTTTTTCCTTTGTTATTTTAGAAGATGATTCAAATCTCTCTTTTCATGTAAATATTTTTTAATTGAAGAGATACTTCTTGCCCTTTTTGATCACATTTATGAATAAAAACCCACTCGGATAATGGATACATAGACCGCCAATCATTTAAATCAGTATCAATTTGATATTATTTTCCAAATCATCAGGAGAAATTTCGAAACTCAGGGATTTCAATAATATAGCTGTAATGAATGGTTACGTTATATTAATAACAAATCAAATCAAACAAAATAAAAAATTCTCAAAATCTTCTCAAAATAAACCACTATTATAAAGAAGAAATAAGAAAAAGGAATTTCCCGAAACATCATATATTAAGCCACGTGACCATGTTGACTGTCAATTTTAATGCGGCATATAATACTGGACATTGGAATTTTAAAAAGAAATATTTTGTTTGAAAATACACAACAGATGTTTTTTTGCAGTTATATCTGCAAATCATTCATGTTAACCATATTTAGTCCCAATTGATTGAACAATCGGCGTAGATCTCCAATTTGGTAATATTTGAATGAAGATAACCAACATTTAAAAAGCCGACTATTACAAATAAAGGATATTATTTTCCGAATATAAACAATATTGAGAAATAAATATAATTTTATTCATTGTAATTCTTCTTGTACTTGTATGGCCATAATTCAATGAAAACTGTATTAATGGACAAATTCAAAGCTGGTTTGTAAATTATATATTATCTGTTATATTATATTATATTATGTGTGCTAATATCATAAAAACATTAATTTATCATGAAACATTTAAATAAACCTTTTGTATATATATTATATATAATAAATATAAAAATAATAGTATGTACAATATAATATGTATATTTGATATTAATATAATGTAGAGTTTCAAATTTTTTTTTATTAGTCATTTTAAATTTCAAAATATATTAATATATATATATTATTTACTTTAATTATATAATATTTTTTTTAATGCGATTCGATTGGATTGGAAAAATCAAAATTTTTATTTGACATTGTATTATACTTTATTCTTTATTCAAAGCATAATGAGAAGAATATTTATCTCTTTCAAAATGTTGCCATATATTTTTATATAATTATGTCCTTTAAAAATTTAACTATTCACTTTTTAAATGACAAATTTCAAAGACTATATTTTTAATTTGCCTTTTCACATTACTAAATTTTTATTCAAATTATATAAATAACAAAGCATAAAAAAGTAATATGTGAAGGTTGCTTGAAAATGCAAACTATTCGATCACTTGCATAGATGACCTTATCCGTATATATTCATTAACATAAAAATTATTTAATTTTAAAGTAAATTATATCGTTTTTGTCGATCTAATACTAAATTGGAAATATAACAAAGACAAAGGGATCGTCATCATCGTTCTTTCATAAAAGATTTATATATTTTTTATAAAGAGATTGGAAATTATATAATAGTGATGTTTTCTGAATTTTAAAATTTAAAAAATTGTGAATTCGAATTCTTGTTCCATCAAATAAAATTTAAAAAAATTGTGAATTCCTTAAATAAATCCATCAATTGAATCGTATCGTCGGCTTTTCGAAATGACACTACCAACCTCTTCCTTTAATAACTTTAATAACTCTAATAATGCAGAACTTTTGGCATCCGCTCTTACATCATTAACAGGTTCAAAAGTTATAACTCAAACAGAATATTTAAATCTCGCATCATCAAATGGAAATAACGCGACCTATCAAAATATAAATCTTTTATCACTTCATAATTCTCATTTAGTTTCAACCTCTCAACAAAATAATGAAAATCTTTCATGTTTATATAATTATTATATTTTACAAGAAACACAACAATTTATTTATTTTTCTAATTCCCAATTTATTTCAACTTATTCTCCTAATTGTTCTATAAATCATGTACCATTATCTATTCCAATTGTAAATAATAATAATTTTCAACAAAATTCTCAACAACAAATTCAACAACAACAAATTTTACAAGAATCACAAAATTTAATTACAATTACTATTAATATTAAAGCATTAAATGGTCAAATAATTCAAATTAATAAAGTACCAATAACAGCAAAAATTTCTTTTATAAAATTTTATATTGAAAATAAAACAAGAATTCCATCAAATAAACAACGATTAATTTATTCAGGAAATCATTTAAAAGATAATTTAACTTTATTAGATTATAATATATTAGATAATAATTCAATAATATATTTAATTGGACAAATATTTGGAGATGTAATAAGTTTTATAGATTCAGATTTTCTTGATCCAATGTATGATTGTGATTTTACGAATATAAATGATAATAATAAAAGATTTATGAGAGGATCACATGAATATCGTAGACCATGCGGATGGAAACGTATAGCAGTTAAAGTATTAAATAAATATGAAGATAATTATTGGTTAGGAAAAGCAGCCAAAAAAGGTACTTGGAGGTATGAATCAGATCCAATGGAATGGCCTGTATCTTATCACGGTACAAATAAATTTAACGCAAAATCTATCGCTGAAACTGGATTTGATGTAACAAAAGGAAAAAGATTTAAATTTGGACATGGAATTTATTCTACACCGGATATTAATATTGCAGCATTATATGCAAATACATTTATTCATAATAATGAAGAATATTGTCTAGTATTTCAAAATAGGGTTAATCCTAAAACTTTAATTAGAATTCCTACTAATATTGGTGAATATTGGATAAGTCCAAATAGTGAAGATATTAGACCATATGGTATTTGTATTAAAAAACTTTTACCACGGAATTAAATTTTTATTTTAAAAAATTTTTATTATATTTATTGTATTTAATACTTTTTAACAATAATTATCAGTTATTCGATGTATATTAGAAAATATTTTTATATAAATAAAACATATATTTTTTCATTGATGTTGATCATTCTAAAATAATAGTTTTGTACTTAATTTTATGCAAAATATTTTAAACTTTATGCGTCTTATTATTATGAAACAAACTTAATAGAATGAAATAAATGACAAAAATAAAGTAACGTTAACCAAATAAGTCAAAAAATAAATAAGAAACTATGTAAATCGACCAACAGTAATTCATTAAATTCATTTGAAACGATTAAAATGGATTTATTTGGATATTAAGATATTTAGAATATGAAAATCAGAAACCTTTTTATCCTTTAAATTATATATAATTTCATATTTGTTAATTAAATTAGTAATATAATTTAGAATTTATATTTATAATTTGATAAATAAAATTTATTATCCCGTTAATTATTTGTTTTTTGTAAAAAAGGAAAATTTATTTTTGGATTAATCTAAATAATGATGTCAATTTACATTATTCGGAATTCATATTTCATTTTATTTATTTTTTTTTTTTGATGAGAAGAATTTTGTAATATTACGAATGAATCTTTATTTCAAACGTTTTGTCACGTTACACAACATTATTTCATTCCAAGAGATCCAACAAATTTGTTAAGTGATAATTCGAAATAATTCTTTTGGTATTTCGGTCGAAAATATTAGTAGTAATCGCTTAATAGGGTAATAATTATTACTGTTTCATATATCTGTCTCTTATACACATCTAGATGTGTATAAGAGACAGCGGTAAAAGATGTATTGGTAAAGATGCATTGGTAATATTCTTATTTTGATCGGAATTTTTTTCCGAATGATAGGTATTCATATGGAATCAGTTATTGGTTACCTGGAATAATAAAATTAAATGAATTGATCGAATTTGATAAAATTTTTCAATTGGATATTTTTTTAAATTACATTTTATTCTTGATGTGGTAAAGAGTTAAAAAGAAACTTGTGCAAAATACTTTCAAATTGTGTTACATTTTTTTAAGTTTATTTTCTTTTTAAAAGGGCAAATTTTTTTCATGAATAAACTTTCTTTAAAAAATAATAATAATATTAACGCGTTAATATTATTTAAGATGGAACCGCCTCCTTTACATATACCTGATAACAATGAATATCCTGAATCAATCAATAATATTTATTCGAATGAATTTTCACAACCAGTAACAGATAAATCCCAAAATAACCCTTGTAATTGTAATAGTTGTCTTTCTCTTTATGTTAATAATAATAATAATACATTTACTACCAATAATTTTAATACTGTTGCTAATCCTCCACTTATACAACAATTTATCAATGATGCTAACGAAAGAAGTTCACCAATCTTTATTCCAAAGGAAGAACAACGTATTATTGGTAATGAACAACAATTACAACCTATTCCAGATATTTCAACTGATACAACTGTTAACTATACAGAACTTTTTAAGATAGAAATTTCTGGGGGAGTTGAAATTGTTGTTAGAAAAAAATCATTACAAAATTTGAATTATCATAATTCAGAAACACAACAACAACAACAACAACAACAACAACAACAACAACATCAACAACAACATCAACAACAACATCAACATCAACATCAACATCAACATCAACAGATTACTTCAAATTTAACTAATCGAGTTGGAAGAATTCAGAATAGAATGCATCCATATCAAATGCCTATTGAACATAATTCTTGCCCTCGTACTTATGCTGATTTAACTCCACAAATAAATCAACAAGGCAACATTTCTGATATTAATCAAAATTATGTTAATCAATAAATGATAATATGCTAAATTTTTTAAGTATGAATGAAATAAGATATTATTTATGGTAATAAGCATTGATTTACGTTTTTAATTATACAATTAATTTGATTATGATTATGCATTTTATCCTATTGATAATCACATGATTTATGAAATTAGGGAGATTTTCTCCAAAATATATAAATATATACATATTTTTTTAATTTAACTTTAGTAAGCATTATGTCCGGGCACGATGTACGTTATTTCTTTATTGTCATGTGTAGATACATCGTACGCCCAATCAATGTTCATTTTTAGTTAGTCAATATTTTGCTATTGTTCAACTATTTTACGCCCAGGAAAAAAAAAAAAAAATAAAAAAAAAAAAATTATTATTATAAATAAAGAAGCATTTTATGAAGTTTTATAAACTCCGATATTGTATTAAAAATGACAGAAAATAAAGCGAATATTATCACAATCTTAGATCCAGCATATTCCGAATGTTATGAAATTATTATGAAACCTTTAAAAGATGATATAATAACCTTATATTCATGTATCCTTGTAAATAGATCCTTTTGTAGAGTTTTTATTCCTGTTCTTTGGAGGAATCCTTTTAAATTTATTAAAGATGATAATAAATTAATTAAATTAATTAATACACTAATTCACTGTCTTAATCAAACCATTAAAAATGATTTAATAAATAAAGACTCAATTAAATTGGAAGGACTTCCTACATATTTTAAATATCATACTTTAATTAAAGAATTTGATTTAAATCCTTTACAAAGAGGAATAAGACTTTGGACTTCAAGTCATTTAACTCAAAAGTTAACTAGAAGAAGTATTAGTAGAAGAGTATTTAAAATTAATAAATATATTGGTAATTTACTTTTTGATAAAGAAAATCAATATGATTCACTTAATATTTATCATAATGAATTATTAAATGGATTAAGAACTTTATTTGATATTTGTAAATTTGATAATTATGAAAAAAGTTTGGTACAAGTAAATAAATTATCTGTAGGATTTTTTCATGGAAATACTACAAATTTAATTTTACCAATTACAGAAAATTTTTTAAAACTTCAAAATAAATTATCACCAAATATTCAACATTTACAAATTTCTATTGATACTATTAAAGAACATGAGGAATTTTCTAGAAATTTAATTCATTTTATTAAATCACAAAAAAAATTAAAATCTTTAATAACAAATACTTTTTGGATAAAAGATGATTTTATTCAACCTTTTCTTAATTCTTTAAAAAATCAATCAACTTGTTTAACTTTTTTAAAATTACAAGATCAAAAACTTTCCAATGAATTATTATTATCTATACTTAAATCTTTACCTAATTTAATTACTCTTTACCTTGATATTAATTATTTAGAATATCATGTAAATGAAGGAAATTCTTTTTATTCAATAATAAGTCAAATATATTTTAATAATTTAGAAAATTTATATTATGATTTAAAATCAAAAATTTTTTGGAATACTTGGAATGTTTGGAGTTCAATCCCAGATCCAGATCCAAGTAATTTACTTTTTAATCAAATCCTTTTATCATCAAGCAAATTATTTTCTATCAAGGTAAAGATAAATAATGGTTTTATTAAATATCTTCAATCATATCAACATCAACATTTAACTCATTTACATATAATTTTGGATTCTGATTCGTTGGAAAATTTAATTAAATTATTAAAAAATTTACGTCATTTGATTTATTTGAAATTAGATGATTATTATGAACGTAGTAAAGATCGTTTATTACGTTATAATTATTATACATTTTTACAATTTGCTCAAACAATTCCAAATTCTTTAAGAATTTTTGAGATTAATTTTGAGATTACGAATGGTTATTTAGAAACTTTATTTAATGAAACTCAACTTAATATTCAATGTATTAAATTATATCATTATATACATTGTAATACTTCTTTAAGAGTTTTTATTGATTACGCAAAAAGTAAAAAATGTTTCAAAGAACTTGGTATTACTTATAATATTATGAAATCAATTTCTAAAGATTATATAATTGAAGCAAAAAATTATTTTAACGTAACACCCTTCAATAATGATGAAATCAATATTCCATTTTATGGTAAGTATAAATTTTTTTTTTTTTTTTTTTAAACAATTATTTAATTAACTTTTATTTTATAATAGATGATCCAATAAAAAATTCATACTGGAGCAGAAGAGTTAGTGAAGGTCGCGTCTAAATAATCGTTAAGCCTTGTTTTTTTTTGAAATTTGTTTTTACTGTATTAAATTTTTCATATTATTACAATTGTAAATTATTATTTTTTATTATTTGCCAATAAAAAATTCTTTTAAAATTACGTGGCGCGTGGCGGCCGTGGCTATATTATTATATAAACCAATAAAAATAACCGATTAAATGTGTAACATAAACATATTATCATGCAGTAAATGCTACGTTGCTCCTTGTCAAAATAGTTATTTATGTTGTGCCACACAGATTCATAATTTCATTGTATAATTCCCACAAATTTTTTTAATTTTTTTTTTTTTGTAAAAAAATAATCTCTTTCCAATACGGGCACAATTTTATTTCTATATTACCAATTTTTATTATAATCATGGCTTTTGATGATCAATCATCTTCACAAATAATCAGAACAGATGCAGTTGATCCATTTATTAGTCTTCGTGTCATTGGAAATGTTAAGTACATGTATTTTATCTTAAAAAAATAATTAATTTATTCAATTTCTTTATTTATTTATTTCTTTTTTTAACATTTAGTATCTTTTAAATAATATTATTAGGATCGTAATGAAATGACTTTTAGAGTCAAAAAGACAAAACCTCTTCAAAAACTTATGGAAATCTATAGTGAAAGAAATGGGTTATCTATTGGTACTTTGAGATTTTTATATGATGGATTTCGAATTAAGAATGATGACACTCCTGAATCTGTAAGTTTTACCAATTTTTTATAATTATTTGATTATTTATTTGTTCAAATAATTAAATTTATATATTGAAATAAATAGCTCGAAATGGAAAATGGTGATGCTATCGATGTTATGGTTGAACAAACAGGTTTTCTTTCAATTCAATTTGATATGTTATGATAATGTTATTAGCATTAAAATATAATTTTTTCTTCTTAGGTGGTGGTTTCTAAACTCATGAATTTAAATCTATCATTTTATTTATTTGGTCGTATATTATATTAAGATGTAATTTTATACGTTATTTCAAAATAAATAATTTTGTGCTTTATGTTGTAAGAGAGATGGGTGTTAGTCTTTTAAATTATAGTAGATTCAGATTCGTAATTATTAATATATATCAATTTATTGTAAATTCTATTTACTAGCTCGCCTTACTTTTAAATATTAATTATTAAAAATGTTGCACTATTCTTTAAAAAAAAGAGTTAAAAATGACGGAATATTATTAATGAGTGATATATCTGGAATATAACATCAAATGATGGAAATTTCTCCAGTATAATGGTATGAACAGTGATATATATATATAGAATAATATGGATAAAAAATTATTGGAATATTGATCAATTTCACTGGGTATTATAGCCTATTTAGTATTATATTTTGACCAGAACTTTGGTTATATTTTTTGATATTTCAATTTCTTCAGTTTTTATGCTCTGTACTTGCACTTGTGGTTTTAGTCAGTTTCACTAAACTGCCATATGAAAAAAGTTGCTGATTAATAAATACTTTCACAAAATTCTATACATCAAAAATGAATTTTAAATCAACTTTTAGTCACAAGAATTTGATGTAACTAGCATCTCTCTAAAGAAAGTAATATGATGAATTGCAAATCAGAAAAATCATATAATCATTTATTTAATAAATGTTATGCATTATTTTTGTTACTGCCCATTATTAAAGCAGAAGAGTTTATTCCTTGATATTTTCTTTTTTTAGTTACCATTTAAGGGATAATTCTTTAGCAGAAGCTTAGATATGAAATTTTTAAAAATATTATTACATTACAAAGTAAAAAAAATATGAATCAATAATATTATTCCATCATTCTTTGGATGCCATTTTATCACCATTTTCGAATTACTGTAAATAGTATAAATGGGAAAAATAAAATAAAAAAATGATTTTTTTCAAAAACCTGTGAAAACAGTAAATTTATTGCATTTTCGAAAGGAGAAGATGCAATTATAACATGAAACCCTTGATTTTAGGATAAAAAATCCAACTCTTAGGTAAGTTTACTTATAGAGAATACACAAAATCTCAAAAGTCGCTTATATGCAAACTTGCTAAAAAATTAAGTTTTTTCTTTAAAATTAATATTTTCAGGTTATAATTGCACCTTTTCTATCTAAAAATACAATAAAATTTACCATTTTTGTGGATTTTTAAAAAAAGTCATTTTTTTTTATTTTATTTTTCTATTTAAACTGTTTTCAGTAATTTGAAAATGGGGATAATAATAAAATCTACTATACAAATATGTATTAAAACTTAAATTAATTTTTTCCCATTTTCCAATATACAAAGTTACTTAATTTTGATGATATACACTTTATAAATTAAAAATTAACATACTTTTTCTTTTTATAACTTTCATTTATAATTGCAGATTGGAAATCTATTTTAAATAAAAAAATAAGGCAATAATATTAAAATTCTTTATTTTATATATAAGCCTACATGATTAGTATTTATACCTATTTTTTTATTTATAATACAAAATCCTAACAGGTATGAAATTCTGAACTCTAGAACTCTAATGCTAGTCAAACATATCATGTGACTCTGCATAATTCTGCATAATGCGGGCTATTTGTCAGAATTTCGTACCATTCAGAATTTTGGACTGTACAGATCCCAAATAATTAAATATATTTGTTTACTAGTATTTTTGAACTTAAATTATTAATAATAAGTTTACTAAATATAGTAAAAATTGTAATAAAGTTGCATTATGAATCTTCATTTACAGTCAACTCCCTCTATAGTCACTTCTATTATAGTTACATTCTACTATATAGTCACACCAGTTGAATGTTCAAAATACTTTATTATTAAAATCTATCTTATATAGTCACAATCTATCTATAGTCACTATCACACCTATCCTCAAAATCTTATATTAAAAAGAACCGTTTATAATGACAGTTATATAAAGAATATATTGAATAACTTGGCATCTAATAATCGTACAAAGATGTATCATAGCTTGTTAGAATCGTCTCACTGAGACGAATCGAATAGTGGTAGTTTTATCCTTTTACTGTGCAAAAAGTCTTTATGACGTTTTTTATTTATTTTTATAGAAATATATAAATCAATAAAAGAGATATAAATTCAAAAAAACAAATAAAGAAACAAAGAATAATCTCATAGTACAAAACAAAACGAAAGTCAAAGCTCTAAAAAAAACTATAAACAATCATTAATAAAAGCACTATATCCTTCAGATTAATATAAAATCACTGTGAGATGACTAAATAGTTTCTTATAAAAAGAAAACTAAACCAATAAAAGGTAATAAAAGCAAAAGCTACAAAAAGGTTAGGAGAACTAGGAAAATATTACTTACAGAAAATTCTTAACGAAGAAAAGCAAAAGAAAACAAAATAGTTGTAAATAAAGCAAAATAATAAAGAAGGGAGAACTATAATATAAAACTATAGATCATACAAAAGGGGATGGCAAACTATGAAACACCACACGTCTTAAATCACTACATAACTACAAATTGAACAAACGACCTAAACAAACAAAATAAAAAAATAATCTAACCAGGCTAAGAAGGAAATAGGTTGATAAACCTATTAATTGAACAAGAAAAGGTCAGCTTAAGAAGACCATCCATAATTTTTAAGTGAAACTGAAACCAAATAGAACAAACGAGAAATATTAACTGATAAATATTATGACAGGAAGAAAAGAAAAACAATAAATTTTCCATTTACGATGACATTCAAATTTTGAAAAATCAAAAAAAGAGCCAATAGAGAAGGGTTTATATTTAGAAATATCATCTGAAAACATTATAGTAGAAACTACTACCAGAGGACCAAGATCAAAGCAAAATAGAGGAAAGGCGATCAGAAGAGAAACAATAGATTCTGAGAGAGAACTCATAAAAGAAAAGTCATCGAAAAATGAAAAAGAGAAAAGCGAGTCATCATCAGAATTATATGGGTTGTTATCAGAATCATCATTCAACATAGATGTGTCAAAAGTACACGGCAGAAAAGGAATATCGTAAACTGAGAGGAATTCGTCAAAATCTATAAAAGAATCGACCTGTCCAGAAGGGGTAACAATAGGTGAAGCATACATAGCTTTAGCAGTGGCATGTAAAGCAGAAAGCTTAGCAACAAGACGAGTAGCTGCAGCAACAGGAAGTTCAGTATCTGATATTAGCTGAGTAATGCTAATCGAAGCGGCGGGAATATAAGTAAAGAGGTCAGCATCATTATCATCATAATTCAACGAATGAGAAGAGTGATACTGAGTGGCATTATACTTATAATCAATTGGAGTAAGTTGAACAGAATAGTCAGGGAGAAGGAATTCGTCCATTTCACCATCAGAGACAAAAGTATATAGATTGGGCCCCATATGACAAATCCGTTGAAAGCAGGGTCTCATATTACAGATTGAAGAACAGGATCTAGCGTCATATCAGAAGAGTCATCTTGATGATCATCAGGCATAAATGCAGGAGCAACTGCAGGAAGCATAAATTCAGAAGATAAAAAATTTCCAAAAGATCCTGGACAAATAAGGTGAAAATCAGGCAAATCTTTCAATATCGATCTTTCAAAGGGGTATGCCAAGAATCCACAAATTTCAAATATTCTTGGTCACGTAAAAGAAAAAATTTGAGACAACGAGAAGAGTTTTCTAATGCAAAACGGTAAAAAAAAGAACTTTATTATCAAGAGGATAAAAGGAAATATATGAGGATTTAAAATCCTTCAAATTTTTTTTATGAGTAATTGAACATTGCCACTTATTAACTAGAGACAACTTGATATAGTCAAGGTGAGAATCCATTAACTTGTTGGCAAGTTTGCACTACTTTTCATCATGGGCAATAGAAGGGGAGGAAGAAGGTGAGGTTAGATTACTAGTTTTTCGTTTGGAATAGGGAGTCGGGGATGAGAAAATTTTTCTTTCTGACGTTCCATAAAGAAAGTGAACCAAAGAAAATAGTAAAAAAATATAAGAGAAAGCTCTCAAAAAAAAGAAAAATAAAGTAAAAGTAATATTAAAATAATTCTAAACAAGTTCCGAAGGCCAAAGGCCTAAAAAAAAAAAAGAAAAAGAAGAGTAAACCCCAAAAAATAAAAATATTTTTTCTAACAAAATACTGTCGTAAGGGTAACAGGAGAAAGTTTTTTTTCAGTCAGTTTTATCCTTTTACTTTGCTAGTGTTTACGGCCAAGCCTCCCTCTACCTCTTTTTGAGGTATCCTCGGGTTAGTATCCTATCATCTCCATGGGCAACCATTATACCGAGTATTTAATTCCTCAGGTAACAGCACCACTATTGAAAACATCCCCATCAGGCCACTTTTAAGGTTAATCTGAAGCTAGGAATACGCCGTCTACTCATCCTATACCCATTGCATGATACTGGTACTCAATTTATTTAATGACCTTTAGAGAGCACCTACTTTCATGGAGAACTTTCGACAGGTAACATCAACCATCTAGTACCCTTTCATACCACCATTTTAGGTACTAAGTCTCACTCAAAAACCACCACAGCCTGCGATTACCTAGCACCGATAGTACAGTTGTTTACCCAAGTAGTATACTTTGTAGTAACCACTCGGACAGGAAGTAGCAGGCATCTGTCCAGGATCACCCCTTATAGTAGGTATCAATCACCAGAAATCACCAACCAGGACCCAAGAAGTGGGAAATCGAACCCCATAACCATGCTACCTGTTCTGTGCATGAACACCTTGGTTGGTCTAAGACCTAATAGAAGGTCAAACTACCACTAAGACATTGCATCCTCAGCTTTACCATTTAGGACAACCATCTAGCCATTACTGACCACAAGCAGTATTATGGAGTAACCATCCGGACAAAAAGTCCCCCCTAAGGTATAGTAGTGACCTCAAGAACAGGACTGCGTACATGCCAATGGCCTCATAGGGAACGTTAGAAGGACACCATGACCCTTAGTTGAAATATGCAGCCTAACTGTACACACTAATTCACTATGATGCAGTCCAACTACACTAATTCCTGTACTTTCACACTATTGGTTGTAGCGTCCGCAGTAAAATTCTTTTATTTCCGTGGTCATAGGAATCGAACCTGCGACCTCACCATACTCAGGCTTAATGAGGGTCTCAGTGACTAACCACTGAGATAGGGTGACCAACCCTTAGTTTTATCCTTTTACTTTGCAAACAGTCTATAGACTTTATCTTTTATTTATATTTTAACTTCGAAAAAAATTCAAACAATATTATAAAATAAGAAAATAAATTAATAAAAAATAAAAGAGTAGCTTCACGACTCATACAAGTAAAGAAATCTAAACTAAAATCAAATTAAAGTGAAAAAAAACTAGACTATTACAGAATCGCATACCTCAACTTTACCCGAAGGACAGTGTGAGTCAACTATCCAACATCCAAAAATCCAGTCCGTTACCAGAAAGAGACCCTAAGAGGTTGAACTGTTAAGCGGCGCAGAAAATTTAAGTGCGAAATCCAAGATCCACCCTGAATTATAGAAGAGGAAATCCAAGAAATCCAGGATTTCTGAGAGACTAACGCCAAAGAAGAGTTACATTGATGAGAGGAAGTAATAGAAGAAAAAGTGGCAGGAGGGCCATGTTCACTGGTAAAAAAATGGTCTATCCTACACATATCCTACACATATCTTACATATATCGGGTACTCAAAATGTAGAAAATCATACACAAATAATACATATATCATACACATATCGGGTACTTATATATATAGTATACCTATCAGGTACCTGATATATGTATGATATATATATTAGTACCCGATATGTGTATGATATGTGTATTATTTGTGTATGATTTTCTACATTTTGAGTACCCAATATGTGTAAAATATGTGTAGGATAAATCATTTTTTTACCAGTGTGTTGTTTCGCCGAAGTGGAGATACCCTGAGATTCTTCCTAGGCATGAAAAAGAACATTACAACATAGCCAAATTTCACCATATAATTCGACATGAAAATCATTAAGAAGAGGAGAAATAGTCTTGTGTATAACAAAAAGAGGGAAATAAAGCTTCAAAAAGTCAGAAAGGTGAGCAGGTAATAATCCTCGAGTAAGCTATGGGCAGGACGGAGAAGGAGTCACAAAGTTCCAACAAGATAAAGCAGAAAACTTTTCACTGAACGAGACAGGTAAAGTTTTAATAGAAGAAAAGGAGGTAATACAAGTATCCTAAAATTTAACAATTTCCTTTTGATGCGTCAAACGTAAGTTGAGTTCCGGAAGAATATAAGGGCAGGTTCAGTAGTGATTCAAATCCTCAGAAGCAGAGTTGCATTGTGGACAAAGCCTAAGGTTGCTGGAAAAACTAGGGGTTTTGGCAAGTTGGCGAAATGCCGAAATGGTGAAACTTTGCCAAAACTATATGAAAGTCTTATTAAAAAGTTGGCGAAACTTTGGAGAAAAGTGAAACCTGACAAAACTTATTATAAATGCCAAAACTGCCGAAACCTTGCCAAAACTATAATAAAACAATAGTAAAATCTTGGAAAAACTAATCGTAAAATTTTGGAGAGGTTTAGGCAGGCAACCTTAGCAAAGCCAATCAGGAGAATACAAATGAGGCTTGCGTTGTTGTAGTGTAGTTAAAGTAGGCAACATGTCTAAGAGAAGTTTGATACAGAAAATCCAGAATTCAGGATGACCATTCTTATATGAAACAAAGCCTTTGATTTGAGAGAGACAAAAATAAATACCAGCCCAATCAAAAAGCATGGGAGGTCTTAAAGCAGTGAAGCGAGCCATTGAACAAAATGATAAAAGGTTGCGAGCATCTGCTATAGAACGAAGGAAGTGACAGATATTCATGTCAATAGGTAAAGAATTAAAAGTCAACAAACATGGTACACAATGAAAATACATCAGAGAAAAGGTAGGCTGAAAAGATAAATGCGCGTCTTTAGCTAAAGAATCTACTTGTTCGTTGAGCGCATCAGTACTATGAGCAGGAACTTTGACTAGTTCAACTTTTAAATTAAAATCTTTTAGGAGATGTCGAATGGAAAGCCAAAGAAGATGATTGGGTAGCTGAAGCAATTTCGGGGAGAAAGGTGCAGCAACAAAACGCGTCTATAATAAAATCAATTAGGCACAATCTGTATTGATCGTAACAGAAGAACCAGGAGAGAGGGCGCATAAGCCAGAAATAATAGCATAAATTTCTGATCGTAGAGCTAAAGGGAAACAGGAAGGAAGGCTCATGGAGGATGAGTCTAATATGAATCCATCATCATCTAAGGCCAACCAAGCTGATGCCATGAAAGAAAGAGAGATATCTGTTGCAGGATGAAATGAATTATCAGTATAAAGAACTTGCGTGGAACAAGGCAAGAGTGGAATATTAGCGTTATCAATCATCTCAATAGGAAAAGGAAATCCAGAAATAGAAGTAGAGGGTAGGTGGTCCAAATGAATAAGAGCCAAAGAGGTGGCATATCCCCAAGAAGTAGACAAAGATATAGGGAGATAAGCCGCAAATACTTTAGCATTCTTGGTAGGGTAACCCGCAGTTTCAGAAAGGGAAACATGGAAAAAACATTTTTCACTATTACAGCGTTGTTTAATCGCAGATTTCTTAGATAAAGCAGAAATGTTAAAAGAGCAACCAGGGCAAGGATTATAGGATCTTTTATCGGCAGAATTAGAGATAGGAAGCCAATGAGACATAATAGCGGAATTTTGTTTTCTATAAGTGACATACATACGGCCAACAGATAAAGTTTGGGTAGTAGAATTAAAATTAATAGCCCATTGAGGATAAAAATGATAGTCTTTAACAGTATCATCCAATAAACAAAGTGAAGCTAATGTAAAAGAAGAATTAATAAAATACAAAGATAAAAATAAAGAAGAAGAAAAAGAAGAAAGAAATTATTCATAATAAATTTAAACCAAGCAGGGATTCGTCCTTTTCGACCGATGATACCAAGGTAACGAAGATCAAACCAGTTCATAAGGTAATGTCCACAAGGTGAAGCCAATTGAGCAAGAACAAAAATGTTCAAATTTTTCCAAAGTTTTCAACTTGTCTGAAAAATGGATTGCGGTAGAATAGTTCGGAGTGGTAAAGCAGGTTGAAGATCACGCCTCAGAGGTCGGAAGGGGAGAGACCACGTGACATTAATTTGTGAAGAGAACAAAAATGAATTAAACAAGGTATGAGTCCGGAGGGAAACAATTTGTAACCACGGCTCTAGATCAATAGTAGATGGGCAACTTTCAGCACCCAAGTAGCCTTGAAGATAAGAAACAGCATAACTGGCAAAATCTTTAAAATCAGGATAGGTGAATATTTTTTGCCAGGACACCATGTGAGAGGATAAGAACTGATAAAAAGCGTTCTGAATAGAGAAAGGAAGTTTTAAAAAA